CTCACAGGGGCTCCACAGAAGTGTGGGGACCCTGGTGCCAGAGAGGGCGCAGTATTCGGGGGGTGCACTGACCTCAGCCCCAAGAAGGGGAGCAGAGAATTGGAGGCCAGGTAAAGCTGAGGCTGCCTGAGCCCTGCAGGAGGTTCAAGACCCTGAGGAGGAGATTTGGGGCCAGGCACAGCTACGGCCACCTGAGCCCCAAGGCTGCAGAAGCCCCAGAGCAAAGGGGGCAGCGGGACAAGCCAGAGTGCCAGTGGGGCGCAGGTTGCGGGACAAGCCAGAGCACCGGTGGGGCACAGAGAGTGAAACAGACCAAACAACGTCCGGTAGATCAGCAAGGCTTGGGGTGTGGTACAGGGATGGCTGGAGCCCATAAGGCCAGGGTGCATGGAAACCCCATTGTAAGAACAAGACGAGTGCCAGCAGGAGAAAACCATGTCCAAGAGGACGAAAGGCAGCCTCCCTTTAATATTTAAGATCAAGACATGGCGGGTGAGATTTTGAGGGTGCTTGAAGTAAACTTGGCACGGTAGGGGGTGCTAGGGAAAATCACAGCCGCTCTTAGGGCCCCACTCCATGACATTGTGGCTTTGAACATTCCTCAGTAACTAACTGACTTCAGTGCTTTTGACAAGGCAATTAGGCACCACAGGGAAGTGATGAACTATGGGGAGATGTGAAACTATGGGGAGTTTTGGAGGGGACCATTTCATCCCTTGCATCACTCTGCTAACTTGAGTCCTGGAAGCTGGGCTCTGAGCAGACTCTGGCTTGGTTTGATTTTTGAGCCGTGCCCCAGGCAAACTCTCAGTTTAACCAGGGCAGTGTTCGTATTTTAGTGAAACCCGTCTTTCCTGTATTCAGTGAAAACACTCAGCCAGAGGTAAAACAGAGAGGTTGAGGGAAAGAGAGCATGGCACTATGGGCCTGTGATACATAAAAAAGGGATGGATGTCACTGGCAGCTCCCTTGGCCCTGAGGCAAGGCTTTGTATTGTCCATTACAAAAATGGAAGTCCTTAGAAGAAGCCTCTTCTACCTTCTCAGTCTTTGCCTCTTCAGTGAAATCGTGACTGAATATCAGAAGGAGCTGGTTAATGATAAGATCTGTTAGGCTGCGGAATAGTGTCCTCAAGATAAATGTTGCAGTTTAACTCCTGTTGGGGCTGTATTGGCGTGTTACTGGCCAGATATCATGTGGCTTCCTGTCAAGACCTATCCTTGCTAGGATGGCTCATTCCCACCTGCCAGCTAGAGACAAAGTGGTAAAGAAGTGTGCTGTTTACACAGAGTCTTGTCTCACTTGTGATGACTGAAAGCTGGAATTGAGATTAGCCAAATTACAGTGGTGTAAAACTGTTATAAATTAGCTATTGTCTCAGAGCGCCGATGCATAATGTATAGCAAAACACAGTTCAAGTTCTTTCTGTCAGGCCAGATAAAATAGTGTCAATGTCAGGTTTAGGTGAACATGTACATTAACAAATTATTGAAGTCTTAACAGTTTATGCTTTTATAAATGGATTTACAAACTGGGCTGGTACACATTTACACAGCCCTCACTGATCAATACATTGGCTGTGTGTGTAAATCATTAGTTGGCTTGCACATTGTAAATGGCATTGTTCATGCAGCATAGCAACCAATTTCTGAGGAGGTGTTTTTCACACGAGTATCCGTCTCCTAGGTATTTATCATCTAATTCCCCCAGTTCAGATACTACTTGTTCATTGTATATTAGCGTGCCTGAGCTCTATGTCTTGTCCCATGCAGTTGTTTTAAGAGGATTTGTCAAAATGATACCTTTCCACACACTCAGATTTGTACTGAAAATTTTGCTAAAAGATACTTACACAAATGCAAGGACAGAGATAAACTGTCATATAAAGACATATGAGTTGCAGAGGGTACCAAACCACCTCAGAGCTTCCATAAGCATAGCTTATAAATATACATTTGCACAACCTATCTCTTGTTAATTTATCAGTGTTACTCTGGTTCTGCAGTATGCCAGTAATTGACAGAGTGCCAAGATCTGATCTAAGTTACACTAGGATAAAAAATCCGAGGTAACTCTATTAAAGTCATTGCAGTTGCTGGATATATGCCAGTGTAAATGAGCTTCAAATCTAGAGCAAATGGATCAGAAAGGTTTGGACATTTCTTTGACTCTGTCTCTAAATTACCCTTTTTTCCTCTATTACAATGTTTTGCAGCTTAGCTGTTGAGCATGCTGTATTTAGCTAGGTATTAAAGTTTAAGGGCCTGATCTGATCTTGCTTACCTTGACTTTACTACATGCGACTCCACGGATTCATCTGAGCTACTACTGATAGATCAGTGTGAGGTCAGAATCCAGCCCTAAGCAGTTAAAGGCCCTTTAGGTTCTTGCAAGATGATCTTGACAGCAGTTGTCAAGAGATTATCTGTAAAACTTCTTGGTAATACTGTTGGGTTACACAGGCAAGGTTGCTGCTTTTATTTCTCTATTGTTAACCTCCATCCACTGAACAGAGTGGGGGATCTGAACCAATCCCTGCTGCTGGAAGTCTTACCATGGCCACTTTGTTGCTTCTTTTACAAAGGAATCAGGGATAATCCAGCGGGGTTCTGAGTCCTCGCACCTCCCATCAATTTTGATGAGAGTTGCAGGTAACTGGAATCTCTCAGAATCTCAGTTTTCAGCCAAATGCTGTGTGTGGCAAGTCTGTCATTCTGTTTACTCTGCTTCTCTTCTTTCCAAACCCCCAGGGTGAAACCAAAGTCCTGAAGCTGAAGAATCTGAGGCCTCAGGATTATGCCAGTTATACCTGTCAAGTGTCTGTACGAAATGTCTGTGGCATCCCGGACAAGTCAATCACCTTCCAGCTCACTAACACAACAGGTAAGACAGTGGCAATAGAAATGCCTCCTAGCCCTCAGCCACTCCTGTCTGCTGAAGGGTGCTCATCCTTCCAGGGCCTGGTGAAGTAGAAACCTATCAAACGCCTACTACAGTTAGTGAGTGGTCTCTCATTGGTTTCCCATTGGTATTGTGTTAGGCTGACTATGTAGAAACTTAGCATGTACCAGACAAAGAGCTGGAGCAGGGGGAGGTCCTAGAGGACTTGGAATTCAGCTCAGCTCTGTGCTCAGCTGTTGTCCTTGCCAGGACTGCTCTCTCTAAAACAATCTGTGTTCAGACATTGGGGATCTGCATAGCTTTTAGAATGGTCCTTTATAAAACAAAAGCAACTTGCAGCTGGGCAATCTAGATTTGGGCAAATGCTGCAAGCAGGTTTCCACAAACACTCAATGGAATTTGAGCCTGGTTCATGCTTCAACCATACTCACTTTCCAGTGGCTTTCAGGAAGTCTGGTTCCACGGGTTGCTTGTGGCAAATGAACAGTGCTATCACACTTTCAGAAAACTAACTTTGCAACTGTGTTCCCTGGTGTTCGTGTTCTGAATGCCTGAGCAATTGTTCCTGTGAAGAACAGAATCGATACGGTGCCACTTGTCTGACCAGTCACGACTAATCAATATTTGCATATCACATATCAAATGCTTGCTGATACCTGGTCGCAACCAATAAATATAACAAGCCAAAAAAAGGCCAAATAATGCAGTGAGTATTTTCATATAATGAATAAATGTCAGAGAATTGCTTTCTTGCTCTGGGGTATCTTGTGATCAGAACAAAGGGCTAAACTTGGATATTGTACCAGTTTGAATAATTCACCTAGCTCTAATATCATACAAAGCCATATACATCCCTCATGTCATCTCTGTAGAATGAAAACAGAACACTTTTGAAGTTGCCAACTGTTGATGGGGTATTGTTAATACTGTACAAATTATATTTATTGATTTAGCAGAGCCAAAAGGCTCCAAAAGAAGCTACATATTTTTATGTATAAATAATTAACGAATGAGGTGAAGAAAAGGAGATGCTTGGCTAAACACCAGAGGAAAAGCTCTTCTCACAGTGCGATCTCAGCACTTAGAGAACTCCTTAACGTGAGTTCTTTCAAGCTAGACCACAGAAGAACACTCACTGGAAGAAACAGTTCTGCTCTAGTCAAGGTGAAAGGGACTGCTTTTCTCTCTCCACCTTTTTACGTTCGTATATATGAAGAATCAAAATTCCTTTTCATAATCACATTCCCCAGCCAAATACAAATAAAGCATCTTTCATTTCACTTTGACCTTTTATTGAGTGAGCAGGAAAGACATGTTTTCAAGCTAGTTAGATCTGATATCAATATTGTACTTTTTATGACTAGAACCATTCTGTTTCTTAGCCATCTACACCAACTCTGAATTTGGCCCACATAGTCCATGAGTGTCTCTCTTTTGCCAGATATAGATAATAAAGGAAAATTTATACCCAAATACCTGGTATGTATGCACATGAATAATTGTTTTTAAATTCTCTTTTGTTGCATAGATCTTTTCATTCCCTCTTATGCTCATGCATTAATAACATCCTTAGCATTGCCTGTGTCCAGGATGCTGAACAGCTTTACTCATGATGCCTCTGCTTTTGCACCTGGAGAAAACCCAAGGGGCAGAGAGGTGCATGAAGATCAATCTTTTAAATATTTATAGGCCCAACTATTATGGACCTTTGTGGGGAAGTGATGGGTCAAGTCAGGCCAGGCTTGAAATTTTTCTCCTAGCTTGTTTGCTGTACTTCTGAGCCACTTTGCTTTGGCAGTACAAACAGCTACCAAGAGTCATTGTGGGGGGTGGACCATCTCCGCTGAGGCTCTGCTTTCTCCATCAGGGATCCCAGAGCTTGGCCCCGAGACTCAGGATCTTGTTTTGTTTTTCTGCCGTGACTCTTGGACAGAGTTATTTTGGGCAGCTGCTGACAGTTGTGGATACAGCCCAAGTATCTGTACCAGCTATACATTCCTGTCTTCACTGTGAAAAAAGTCTGTTTCTCCTGCTCCTACTCCCCTCCATGCACCGTGGTTCTGGAGCTCAGCACTCAGGCAGGGTAGAAGCACAGCCCTGCCTCAGGCCCAATTGTTACAGCCTGTGTTTTGGGCCCCAGCTCTGGTGGGGCGGGACTGACATTTCTCCCTTGATTTCTGCAAAGTTAAGCCCAGCTGGTTAATTCTCCTGCAGTTTTACTGCAGCAAATTGGACTTCAAAGGGAATTGAAAGCAACTCTTTGTTTTTAATGGTCCCCTCGCTCCACAGCAGACTCTGCCAGCAGGTTTTCTGAGCCGAGAACAAAAGGAATTGCCACAGGTTACAAATAAATGAGATTCATCTCCTGCATAACAATGGCTGCATATTCTTAACCTCCATCCACTGAATAGAGGGGGGGGTCTGAACCAATCCTGGCTCTCAGAAATGGGACTGGGTACATGCCGTTTAGCTGGAGCTCAGTTGCCTGGAGAGAGGGGCAGATGGCTGTTTCACAGCCTCCTTTTCTTCTAGTGACACACACAAACAAGCTGCCCTGAGGCAGAGGCTGCCCCATCAGGTCACTTTTTGGACATTACTTTGCAAGGAACATGTCATCACTCAGCAGGATTCAAGCTATTAGGCCTGACCAAACACGTTTAGATAAAATAAAAGAATGACCTGGAACTTTTGCCAGAACCTGAATGAGATCCGATTCGCAATCCCCCACCTTCCTTCTTCCTGATTTCAAATCTGCACCCAGAATGCAAATTGATCTCAGCCTTCTTCCAGCTCAAGCCAGAGGAGGAAACTCCTAACTAAGACCAGGTCAGTGCAGCTTCTGCCAGCTCAGCCAATGACTGGCAACTAACTCAGCAGCTCAGCTCAGTGCCAGAGGGAGGCACATGCTATTCGGTATCAGCTGAACCAGACCAGAGGTTTCTTGGCCCAGGGCAGATGTTTGTAGCCTATGGGAAAGAGAGGTCCTTTCTTGTCTGGGTAGCTTGTGGGATTCATTCACTTAGGATGATGTGAGTCGTTATTCTACCGGGCTCCACTGAGCTGCAAACCCCCTCAGAGTAGCGTTACCATATTTCCAGTTCCAAAAAAGGGACATCTGTCTGAGGGACACCTCACTTCATACCCACAAGCTGTGACCCTCACTCCCCTGCTCCCCCCCAGCCCTTCTGGAGGGGACCTCCATCGGCCCCTGTCCCAACTGGGCTGGAACGCAATGACTGGTGGCTCCAACTTGTGTAGGTGGTGACAGAGCGATTCTGGCCCTGGCACACCCCTACCCCCCAGACAGTCCCTAAGCCCTGACCCTCCAACCCCCACTCCCCATAGACTTATCTTCATCCAGCTGCCAAGGCTGCTCCCACCATCCTGCCAGGCTGCATGCCTGCCACGTGTGTGTGCACGTGTAGATGCACGTGGTGCCCCCTGCCTCCAATTGCCCTCCCCCTGCTCCCACCAGTGGAGCAGAGCAAAATACCGGACATTTGTTCAGATTTCAAAAAAACTGCCCGGATGGAGATCAGAGGACCTAAAAAAGCACATGTCCAGGAAAACCCAGATGTATGGTAACCCTACTTTAGAGCCTCAGGTTACTCTTGGGAAATTCACACATCCTCCTTCTGCTTCACCTCACACGCTGGATCTGAACTGTGTTTTCCAGAACTCCAGGGTGGGAAGGGCCCTCAAAGGACCTGACTTCCAGCCAGAACCCCCAAGATAACAAAGATCTCAAAACCATGGGCTTCAAATTAGCCCATAGAAAGGAGCAGCAGAAAGTAGTCACTCCTTCCAAATGAGGACCCTCTGCAGAGCTGACCAGGTGCTCCATGCACACATGACAAGGGGGCAGCACTGGTGTGAAAGACATGGCCCACAGCTGGGCCTGCCAGTGCGCTGAGCCAACATAGCGGTTGTTAAGTTGCTGCTAAGTTATGACATCTGTGCTGAGGAGAGAACAGCCCTCCTCGCCTTGTTTGCATGGGCTGTAATTCAGTGATCCAACACAAACCCAGCACAGCTCATTAACACAGGGTCCAGGGAGAGGAGAGGCAGAAATAATGATGCTGTTAAATCAGGCTTCATGAATATGTAACAACATCTTATTTTGCATTATTATGGCTGTTACTTAAAGTGCACTCACCACCTTTGTATGAGGGATAGTTGATTGCTGGAGCAGGGGATGAAGCTGATGAACAGCTTGAGAGAGTCTTTCATGAGAGTAAATGGCAAATGAAGGGACAAGTGTTTGGGATCTGAGCTCTGGAAGGGAAGGAATGAATGGAACCAGGCGCAAGGACCAGGTTATTCAGAAGTTGAGGCACTTGAGTCAACCTGCAGGGGGAGCCTGGTGGATTGTCCCTTAAACCTGTAGAACAATTTATCTGATGGCAAGGCAGACTGTTTAGCAGAAGTTGCTGGGTGGGCTGCAGGATCAGTACTGACACTCAGAAGTACTGGTTTTCCACCCGGGGTCTGAGCTAGCAAGCACATAGCACGTGGGTGGCAGGCATAGTGCTCCTCTCAAGCCAGCTCTGAGAAACAGAATATAATCTTGTGACCCAGGTTGTTGGGATACAGCGTGAAGGAAGACGTGACTCCACAGCTCCTTCCTAGGACAGTCTCCCTCTCTGTCTTCTGTGATTTGTTGCTTCTTCATATGGTTGCTGGAAGGCCTGTTGTCCTCTTTGTCCCTTTCCCTCCCTTTGTGGGGTTTGGCTGGTGGAAGGCTCTTTTCCTTCTCCTCCCTCTGTGCCTCTTTGACTTGTAGGAGTCTCCTTGCCCTACTCTTGTTCCCTGCCAAAGACCTACTGTTTTAAATGCAGCTTCACTCAGCTCTATATCCAACTGCTCCCCAGTGGACACTGCAGCTTCCAAAATGCTGTAACTGTTTAGAGAACAGCTTGGTAAGCCCATCTGGGACTGTGAGAGGGAATATGAACCTTCCTCCAGCATGCCTAGGCATGGCT